AGTGACAGTGACATACGACGTCAAGAACTGTTTTATTTTTCCATTCAATATGCAAGGCCCAAGACGACGACGGATTTGACACGGTATCTGGAAGGTCAGTTAGAGCTCTGTAGAATTTTTAACAGAAAAAAGCCAATCTGCAGGTCACCTCTGCTCACAGGGAGCTTTGCATCCACACAGGTAGCAGCCCTGATGTAAAAGCCACCCAGAGACTGCAAGAAAGGGAGCTCTGGCAGTGTCGATGGAAGGCAGCATCAGCCTCTGAGCAGAACCAAACTTCATGAGCAAGAATAAATTCAGCCCTGGCTGGACAGTGACCCTACAGGTGCACAACAAGGTCACCACACCCCGTATTTCCACCAGGATGGACAATAGCCCTAAAACCCACCGGGACACACAAACCCCTGCAGTCAATTCAACCGACTCCACTTAAAAACGGAAGCTGCGTTCATGCCTGAATACAGGAACCACCACTTCAAAACTCACTCCTCAAGTTCTGACAGCAACTAAAGTTTTCACGACTACTCCAGATAAAAAAGTGAAGTGGTGCAGGATGAGAAATGGGCGAAGCAGTTTTGCACTCTGTGCTCAGTACCGGTCCATGCAGCGCCTCGCTGAGTCTCAATGCTCTCCCCTACCAGATCCCTCAGTTTAGCTGCCAAAATAATAACCCCGCTGAAACACAGGAGGAAGAAACCATGATCTGGCAGGAGAATACCACTGCACTCCTTTTATAACCACTAAGATGGCAGAATAGTTTTCTCTACCAGTTTGTGCATTCTGACTTGTGATACCTTCTCCAAGTTTGCATTTGAAGACGCCGTTATCTACCGAGTCAGAACTCTGATGACTTCTTTCTACTTAAGGCTGGAAGAAGGCAATACTCCTCGCCGTAGCTGGATCAGACTTGGCAGTTTGTACACACCCAGGTGGGGCGTGCCGAATCTTTGCTTTAGAAAAAACCAGGACCACCTCACCACGTACCACTTGCATTGCTCAATATGGAAAAAAAAACAATTGAATGACTTTCTGAGCTTTGACAGCTGCTAACGTATTACAGTCAGAAGAGAGGAAACAGTGGTCAGGTCAGTTTTTGAAGGATAAAGTACTTTCAAGTTTCCATCTGTGTCCACCACTCGAACCTGCTCCACTACCAGTGGCTGCACATTCTGGCTGGGGTTCAAATTCCCTGGTCCACTAAGAGTATCAGATTCGTTATCCGAGCCCGAGTCTTCCTTATTTTCCAAGGTAACTCTGTTCAGCTCCGCAATTTTCTGTTAAAATGAAAATACAGAAAACAAGATTAATTCTGCAGCTAAGCCCTCTGAGCAACTCCAAGTTGCTCCCAAGGTGTGGATCTGGCCAGGCTCTGGAGGAACCTCTGCATGAAAACATTCTTCAGCGGGTTACAATCTGGAAACCAAAAGGGCTTTTGATGTTCTCAACTCCTGGGCTCTCCAGGAGGTCCCACTCCTTCTGAGCAGTTTAATTTTTTTGCCCAAGTTCTGTGTTAAAGCAGTGGATTCTGAGCAAAAGGAGCCTGCTGTAGGATCAGCACTGAGGAGTTTGCTTTTGGTCCATCTGAAACTGTCTCTGTTACCACTTTGTGTAACTACACAAATCAGTTACCCCTCACCTGTGTATTCTAAAGGGCAGGTTAACTGGACAAGATAAAATACACTTATATCTTGCAAAACACTGAACAGCTACTATCCTGTACTCACCTTACACCAAGTATTACCCCTCTCAGTACAGAAGCTTTTGTTAAATCACGTTGAACAGCATTTAATGAGACTGTCCTGCTGCTAATGAAGTATCTGAAGGACCCAGCAAGCTAGTTTTTAGGCAGGCTGAGGTGAGGAACCTCCCTAAAAGAATCTATTGGCAGCACCACCTGAAGCCATAAGATCACTAACAAGGGGCAGGGTTGAAAGTCAAAGCACACATTTCCAGTTGTGGCAACACAACATTGTTTACCCTGGAGAGTTTTGAGGTCTGACAGTCGGGACACAAGAATGTAAAACCCTTCTGTGATACTGCAAGAATGGAATAGTAAGTGAAAGAGAGGGAATAATAACACTTCTAAAATAAAAACTTCTGTATTCTTCTCAAGATGTGTGAGCAATGAAAATTCTGTTAAGCAGCACAGCGAGAACAGGCAGGATTATTTAACTGAACTACTTACCAGAATTAGTGTGTCCATGACGTCTTTGCAGATCTGTAAACTGGTGTCGCTGGTCACTTCCAGAAACAGATCCCGGGTTTCTTTTCTGATCTGTAAGGATTTCACAGGTAAAGAGGTAAGGAATGTGATCACACTCATCCACAGTCACTCGGCAACACGGCCATACACAGAGCCAGTGACTGCCTGTGGTGGAACTGAACGAAAGCCTAAGTCCTGCCTTTCCCTACAAGTCAAAAACCAGATTCTTGCCCTTCAGAAAAGCTGTAGTGCCTTCCAAACAGCCTGCCAGAGCTGGACAGATTTCCAAGGGTAAAAATATAACTGCAAGGTCCATCAGGCCCTGACAGAGAAGATTCAGGCTTTGCAGATGTATAGTGGGAATGCAATCACACCTTTCACCAAACCGCGCGTATAAATATCTCTCAGCAGAAACACTGCTTAATCCTGATTAACTTATTTCCACCAACAGGCAGTATTACCTTTGTTTTCTCACTATTGGTTATTGGTGGGAAAGAAATCACAACGCCTTCGGCATCCACCAGGCAGGGGTAGTTATCTTTGCCATCCAGTAACTGGAGATACCTGCCAAGAGACACACAGCAGCAGCAAGTGAGCAACAGAAACCACAGCTGGACACGGTGGCAGAAAACAGTGACAAAAATGACTGTGTTCCTGAGCCACCAAGGAGTGAAAATGGTACCGTGGTGACAGAGCTGGGGAGAGCCACCATCTGCTGGAAATGATGGGCCAGAACCACAAAGTAACTCACGTTTTATTATCCCTGCTGCCAAAGTAGCTTCTGATCCCTTCAGAGGCCCCACTGCTCACACAGAAAAACCCACTGCCCGATTCCTCCAGATGGCTTAACTTCCCTCTGACTTACTGTGGTGATACCCAGCTCTGCCATCACGTACCTGGCACATTCCCCCAGCCATGTCAGTGAGGGATGTGGGTGGCGATCTCTGCCTGAGCAGTAAACCCTGCTTCAAACTTCATCTCTTCCCAAATCCAGACTTACTGCTCCTCAGATTTGCTCAGTTTACTGAACGTGCACAGCATACACTTCTTTCCTCTTTGTTTCCCTTCTGTTGGCTATTCTACAAATATTTGGCACCTCTAAGAATAATTTATAAGACAGTAATTTGCTCCTGATGCAACCAGAAACAACGGAAGGCTCTCATCATCCTTGTTTCACTCCAGGTCACTCTTTGTGCAGAAGTTCAGCTCAGTGTTTCTCATCTCAACCCCTAATGCTCGTGCAGGGTTCGTTAGCCCCACCACCACTACAGAACGTGCTTCACATTACACCTCAGCACACGTTCTCTGGTGCTGCTTTTCCCTACAAATGTATGTTACCAAACTTCACCCGAAGAAAAACCAAGAAGAGGTCAGAACACTGACTTGTGCAATCCAGAAACGTTCTGACGCTTCTTCTGCTTCCTCTGCTCCTCAGCTTCCAGCTGGAGCTGGCGGAGAAGGTCCTTTGCCTTGATCTCCTTTCGGCCCAGGGGCGTTACCTGCACCATATGAGGAAACAAACATTTGAATTCCGGAGAGACTCAAACACCAAGGTTATTAAAACTCTCCTTTAAGCAATTCCGTAATTAAACCCACACTTCTGTGCGCCCTCATTCCTAACATCCTGTTTGAGCAGCCCTGTCACAGCAAGAAAATTAGTACAACTTCTACATTAAAGTTCCTGGAATTAGTTTTCTAGGTTCTATGGGGTAACAAAGAAAATTCTTTCCCTTCTCTAGAGTTCCAGAAAGCAAAAGGAAAGAAAGGGGAAAGGCCCATTGATGCCATTGACCCTACCTTCAGCTCCTCGGGGGGCTGAACATCATAGAGCAGGGGACCTTTGATCAGCTGCAGGTCGTGGGTGGCGATTGTGGCTGCTGTCCTCTTCTCACAGATGTCTTCATGCAGCTTAGTCTAAAAGAAAGAACACCATCAAGTATACCAACAATATCAATGTGATTTATTCCTCCTGGGGTTCAGACTCTTCTATATTTAGTGTTATCAGTGCCTTGAGTAACCCTTTTGCGTTAAATAGAGCCCTTCTCTTCACCTGTGAAATGATTTTATCAGAATTACAAACGAAAGGTGAAGGCAGTGAAGCACAGCACACCGCATGTTTCCCTACTGAGAAATAAGCAGGTTTAAATCAGAAAACAATCACAAATACGTGACTCTCATAATTGGAAAGAAGCCAACGTCCCTCTCATGGACAGGGGCAGCGGGAACGGCTGTGGTTACGGTGCCTGGGCTGGAAGGGTTGGGATGTGGGATGGTTTTAGCTCAGATGAGGGAACCTGGAGCCAAACCAGGGCATTTCTACCATGAGTGCGGGTTTATTAGTGGTTCTCAACAGGTCCCACAGCACTTAACAAGCTGTTGTTACAGAGGGAACGCAAACACATGTGCATTCATCGCCCTCTCATGGCAATATCTGAGCTACGAGGTTCTTCACAAAAACCAGTTTTGCTTATTGCAGCCTGAGGAGGCAGCACGGCCATCCCTCGCTGCCCGTCCCTCAATTCCAGACACTTCTCTGCTGGAAGGAGCCTAGAAGGGTCCATTTCCCACTCTGCTAACAACATTCCCATCACAAACGAGTAACACAAGATCTCAGTGCTTACCTGTGCAGACAAGAACCTCTTCAGAGCATTTCCTGGTTTCAGGTTGACTCCCTTCAGCACGCAGCACACAATGAAGGCTCGAACATCTTTGACGCCCGGGCTCGCTTTGACCACCAAGGGTGCTGGGTTTTCGGAGACGTGCAGCACCTTCACCAGCAGCTTGCTCGCTTCCTCCAGCTCGTCCTGCTCCCCGTCCACGCCATCCTTCCTCTGTTGCTTCTCCCTCTTCTTCTTCCTGGCCTCCTCTCTGCCGCTCTCGGCTTTCCCCTTCCCGCGGCCGCCGGCCCGCAGGTACTCCAGGATGGCCTTCATCTGGCAGCTGTTGACCATCTTCTCCAGCCGCTTGTCCTTCAGCTGGTTGCCCTTGAAGTTGGCTTCCTTCAGGCGGGGGCAGTCGGCCAGGGCAGCGGGCAGCTCCCGCAGCTGGTTGTTGCCCACGTCCAGGCTCTGGAGGAGAGAAGAGAGACGGGGGTCAGTGGGGATGGGGGTCAGTGGGGATGGTGAGGATGGGGGTCAGTAAGGATAATGGTCAGTGGGGATAGTGGGGATGGTGGGGATGGGGATCAGTAAGGTCAATGGGGATGGGGGTCAGTGGGAATAGTGGTCAGTGAGGATGGTGGGGATGGGGGTCAGTGGGGATAGTGGTCAGTGGG